TGGCACTGTGGCTCAAGTGGTAGAGTGCTAGCCTAGAGCTGAAGAGCTGAGGGACAGCGCCCAGGCCCAGAGTTCAGGCCCCACAACCGGATCCAAAAAAAAAAAAAAAAGACAAGGGCTGGGAAGGTGGCTCAGTGGTAGAGTGCTTGCCTTGCATGCATGAGGCCCTGGGTTCAATTACTCAGCACCACAAGAGCAGAAAAAAGCCAGAAGTGGAACTGTGGCTCAAGTGGTAGAGTGCTAGCCTAGAGCTGAAGAGCTGAGGGACAGCACCCAGACCCAGAGATCAAGCCGCATGCACAACACAACAAAAAAGTATTAAGAAAAGTCTCTAGGTAGGCATTCAGTATTAGTGAATGCCCAGACAAACTGTTCAACATGATCAGGAAGTAACCAAAGGTTCTACTTGAAATTTCCTCTAACATTTAAAATGTAGGTACCATACTTACCTGAGCAGAAGCAGGGAGGGTGGAGATGAACATGACAAGCGGTATACTTTCGTGTGTGTGTGTGTGTGTGTGTGTGTGTGCGCGTGCGTGCATGTGTGCGTGTGCGTGTGCGTGCATGCGTGCATCAGTACAGGGCCAGGGCTCCGTTGCTAAGCTTTTTCCCTCAAGCTAGTGTTCTACCACCTGAGCCACACCTCCACTTCTGGCTTTTTTGCTGGGTAAATGAAGTTAAGACTCATAGATTTTTCTAGCCAAGGCTGGCTTTGATCTGTGATCCTCATATGTCAGCCTTCTGAGATGTGGGATTCCAGGCGTGAGCCATCTGCATCCAGTAGACAAACAGTATACTTTTAATTACTTAACCGAACATGTCTCTGAGGTATAGAGCTGTAGAGAAATGCCTCACAATGCTGGGTAAAAAACATTTGTTTGGCCAGGTTACACTCCAGTTAATCAGCAAGAAGCCAGAAATAGAGGTATAGCTCAAATAGTACAGCACCAGCTTTGAATAAAAAAGCCAAGAGAGCTAGAGTTCAAGCTCCAGTACTGAGACACACATGAAAAACATTTTATTCAATATCACTCCCAATGTTTGGATTTACTAGATTTACTCTGACCACTTAGACAGAGGAAGAGGGCAGCATTGACCAACTCTGCTCCTACAGCTTCCCAGAGCAAGTACGTCTGCATGGTTCAAAATACCTTCCTGCCTGAGATTGTGAAAAGCACACGTATGTTTATACAGGAACCAAGCAGTTGATAAACAGAAGGAAAATTCCCAGTGCTCATCTCATTATCTTCATATTTACAAGTTGTCTTAGGTTCTCAAAAGCCCTGAAGGGGAAGGAGTTATGTAGAAAAACCATTTTAATTCTCTAGAACTAAAGGAAAGATGAGACAAAGCACGAGGAGGAAACAAACCAAGCAGGTGACACTGTTCAAAAAGAAATATACAGGGCTGGGAAGGTGGCTCAGTGGTAGAGTGTTCGCCTAGCATGCATGAAGCCCTGGGGTCCATTCCTCAGTATCACATAAACAGAAAAAGTCAGAAGTAGCACTGTGGCTCAAGTGGTAGAGTGCTATCCTTGAGCAAAAGAAGCTCAGGGACAGTGCCCAGGCCTTGAGTTCAAGTCTCAGGACTGCAAAAAAAAAAAAAAAAAAGCTGGGTGCTGGTGGCTCATGCCTGTAATCCTAGCTACTCAGGAGGCTGAGATCTGAGGATCGCGGTTCAAAGCCAGCCC